CGTGTAACACGGAAGTAGGAGCTCAGAACAGTGAAAAAAAGATGCAGCTAGAAATAATTTACAACCACTCAAAACTAGAGCAAACCTCGTGGGTTTTCTTGGAAATATCCATTCATGTTTATTTTTAAAACTTTAATAGCTTTTAGTTATTAAAAAAATTAGGTTTATGTATTTTTTAATGGAGATATGGGTGATTGAGCCCAGGACCTCATGCATGCTAAGCAGGCAGTCTACCACTAAGCTATACCCTCCCCTCTGGAACAGCTTTTAGTTATTAAGGGAACTGACTACCTGTGTATAATTTAATGAAAACACTTGCTCCAGGATTATAGGTAATAATCTAAACACTGAGCTATCTCACAGTCTTTGGCAACAGCTTAAGGAAGGCAGCCATACACTAGAATTTTTTTTTTCACTTTTTTTTTGCACTTGGTCGTAGGGACTTACCAGTCCTAACGGTATGACTTGTTTCTGGTTTTTTTTTTAACACCTCATACAAGTACAATCTCATGTGATCGCGTGCTCTTTGTAAGTCACATTTTGAATAACTCCACGAGAGCAGAGTACTTTGGCTGGAACACATTATCATGAAATGGGATAATAAACGACATATGTGAACTAAACTGACTCTGATCATGTGCTCGAAGGAATTAAATAGCAGAAGAATCACGGTGATGGTTGAAGAAGTTTCCACTGACTTATTCATTCATTCTGCAAGTATTTACCAAGGGCACCCAGGTGGTACGTGCCATGTTAGTGTGGACTGATGGTGCAGGATGTGGTGAGTCAGGCACAGATGAGGTCGTCTTGAGTGAATGAGGTGACGAGTGCTGGGATTACCAGCAAGGATGCCTGGTGCACCTTTAGTAAATGGATCAGTATGAAGGTAGCAGCATTTGGGAGTAGTTTTAGAAATTTAAAGGAAAAGACATTTCAAAGTGAACCCAGGATTTTTATTAAATGTTACATGACATATCAGTAGAGATGTTTTACCTTTTAGGAACTTGCATAAAATGGCAACATTTATGCCAATGAATTACTTGCCTAGAGGAAATAGAATGCAGTAAAATGAAGGTAGAAGTTACTTCCAGACTAAATATTTTCTTAGGTGTCTTTAAAATAATAACGTGTGAGTTAGATTAGCACTGTACTCTATTGATAATCAGGAAAAATGCTCATTGAAGAAAACTTGGAACACAAAGAGAAGCATAAAATAGTGGGGAACCTTCTTAGTTTTAACCCCCTGAGGTAACCATACGTTTATATTTCTCTGTGTCAAAAATATATATCAAATTTTAAATCCAACAAAGTAGGAAAGACATTTATATCAAATATGACAAACTTTAAGATATGATGAGCTTATGCAAAACAATAAGATACATTCAAATTTTCTAATAGATGAGGGGATAAAGATCAAGAAGGGAACAGTTGTGAGAGGAAATTCCAGCTGCCAGTGAACATGTCTAAAAAAGTTAATGTAACGAATAATCAAAGAGATGCATCATAAAGCAGTTTTGGGCTTTTTGGGTTTTGTTTTTGTTACTTGTGTTTTCGTTTTACAAATGGTAATATTCGATTCTGGTCGGGGTTCTGTAAGACTGGGACATTATGCTGTAT